GCAACGATTTTAATATTTGAATAAATTTTCTGCAAGGTGAGCGAACAAACTGACTGCTTCCACCCGCAGAGCTGCCGGCACAACGCAATTGAAATTTTCGAGGCTACGCAAAAATTCAGTTTAAAATTGACGCCAAAAACCGACACATTATACTAGATGCTTGCTTTTTCTCTTGTGTTTATGTTTGGCATAAACTGTTTTGCATGTAATTTTCAAAACATTCTCAATTTTGCAATGATGAACAAGACTAAAAATAAATTCATCATGACAGTATAAGAGTTGCAAAAAACATAGAAAAACACTTGGAATTTTGAGTGCACTCACTATTTTTCTAAGCAAATGACAAACACTTGTGTGTTCACTCGAAAAAATCCCAAAAATTTGAAAGCAAATATTGTGAGTTCCAACAGCGAGCTCCCTAATTCCCAATCATAATAATGTGCTTTTTTCGTATTCCCACCGCCAACTTCCAACATTCACCATTATTTTGTATGCTCCTGTTTTTTTGCCCTTTTTGGGATGTGCGGCAGTGTCGCATCAGAAAGCAGCATAAGGGTGCGAAAGACATAATGACACAAGGGTGCAGGGGACGTCCTGCCACCACGTCACATCTACTTCTGCTCATTTCCACTCATTTCATTATTACGACACGCTTTCGGCTGCATATGTCCCCGCGTCACATCGCCTCGAATCATTTCGAGCGGAAGGTGACACACAGACACAGCTGTCATAAACCGTAACAACCACCTGACAACTGTACCATCAACTCCGCAATGCAGAGGCGAACCCACTCGCACGTACAGTCAAGTGTAATGCAATAACTACGTCGATTTAAATAATAAACGCAGTTACTATAATAAAATGTTGCATCTGCTCGGTATTTTTGGCGTGCCTATTCAAATAGATGGCAATGGCGCATTAACGATGTTCAGTTAGGGGCGATTCGAGAGTGTGGCGAATGAATCAAACACCTCGGATGCTACTGACGACTGCTTATCGAATATTATTTATGAACTACGCATACATATGAACCTTTTAGTTTTTAGTGGTTGTGGCTCGTTGGTCGTTCAATTTTCCCGGGTTTATCGAGCATGGAACATCGAATCAACCATGGCATTCATCGAGCATATAATATATATATGCAAAAACTAACATTTGAATTAAGATGTGGACCATGCCCGGAATTAGTTATGCCTTGTTATCTCAGAACATTGACCACCCTCATTCACTCAGTAATCTCAGTATACCTACATTTGAAAATTGTACTTTGTATGCGGAAATATTAAATGTCTCGAGTAAATCAACTATTAATTTAATTTAATTTCTTTGTGAGCATGAAACATTGCTACATATTTGATGTTTTGCTGTTCCGAAGGCATTTGGTAATTTGTCGCTTGATACATCCATCTAATCTAATCCAAGATGTTTCGTCCGTCTAATTTTATGCTAGCTCTCGAGTCGCGTTCACTTCAAAACGCACAGGTAGTCATAAACTGAACGCTAATTACATTTTAATCAATCCTTTCGCTATTATTATTCATATGCGCGTCGGATACAAGATGCCAGACATCTACGCGTCCTGCGGACGACGTTGGAACATACGGCTTGAGAGCAGACATAAGTATTTAAGTGCCGAAGAATGTGAATGCATGGTTCTTAGAGATGCTTTGCTTCGCGACGCAATAATGGATGAAATTAAAATTAAATTAAATAATTTTATGTGTGCGAGCTACGCACATAGGTCCTAGACTTGCTCTAACGTCATTAAGGTTTGCAGACTACAAAATTTAATACTTATATAAGGTGTTTTAAATTATTTAATTGTTTAATTTTTATTATTATTGCGTGAAATTACTAAAAATTTCATTATTTTGCCTAAAACATACAAATTCACTTTCCATTTCAATATTATTCCGCAGTATTTAATTTAATTTACATCTGCCGTATCATTTCCCTATCTTCCTGCGCATACTTCAACCTACATGTGTATAATTATAAGCTCATCAAGTGTGAAAAAAATAAAGTAAAAAACTTCCCGCATATGTTTCGGTACCATCGCCACTCATAAATTACCACTAATATGTAATTCATATTATTTATTTATCCGTGTGTTCTTTGGCGTTTGATATCGCGCATCTACCAGCCGCATTAATATTTAAATGTAATCCACCCCTTTTTTAAAGCAGGGTTTGCTCTCTTAAATCTTTAAACGCTCGCATTGTGCGTGCTCATTGTGTTTTCGTTTCACATTTCACAAACATGCGGTTGTGTAAATACAAGCATTGTATAGGTAGACGATGCCGAACGGCGGTGTAATATGCACTTTAAGCACCCCGTGTGTTGACTAACCAAATGCACACCCTAACGTTGTAATTGTTGGCTGTTTTTACCCCTTTTTTGAAGTTTGCATAAGATTTATTGGTTTGTATTCAATCATAGACTAAATAATAGCTTAGAATTCAGTAAAAAACAAGCATCAATAGCAATAATTTTCCATTTTTAGCAAGTTTAAACAAAAATGAAAAACCCTTAGAAATTGATAATGACTGCTCAATGTATTACATTTTTATAAACTTTTATGTGGTGCTTTAGAGTAGTTTTAACACACCACAAACTTTATAATCCGTGAGAAAGACGATTGTTATCCGTGATTTATACTCTCCCTATATGCACGTGCATGTGCATTATATGCGCGATGTGCATATCGCATCATTCCTATCGCAATAGAAAACATTTGGGGTAGTCGCAACAATCCCTCGACGCTCAGCGCTCGGGCGCTTGATTGAAGATTATTGTTCCGAGCTGGCAATGATTTTTTAAACTTTGCATTACTCGCATTACACCCCTTTTTTAAGTGCCAGGCGCTCTTGAACAACGGATCTAATAAATAGAATCAACCCTTTTCGTACCTTGCCGCCACGCAGGGTGCTTATTAGAGGAGGGCCGACGCCATATGTGCCGCGCCGCTTTCAACATCAACATGTTTCAGTTTTATGCCCGGAGTGTATCAACATGAACTTTATATTTGATCTTTGCCGCTGGCGACTGAATGAGGCAGGTTTTTGAAAGTTTAAGGGAGTTTTAAGGGTAGATGCAATCAGACATTGGGATCAAATGCAATCAAAAGTGTAATATATGTTAAACGATATGGGAATATTCAATTCTAATAATGATTCTGAATGTTTGCGTTTTTTGTTTGTTATCAATGAATCAGTGTTGAAAGGCAAAAAGTTTCACTTTCTAGATTCGAAAATCTGATACATTTTGGGGTACGTTTTCTACTTATTCTTTTATCACAAACAACTCAAGCATGAAACTAGACGCGTATCATATTTTGGGATCAAGTTTTTAATTATTTCGCCGTTCAAATAGAAAATGTTTAACTCTTCTACCGGATATTGCAAAACTATTGCAATAGGTAAAAGCGTTTATCGTTGACACAGGAAATGCGAACGGATGGCTCGATGACGATGCATATATTGCGATTTCAGTTCATGATTGTCGCGCCGGAAACGAGATTGTTATTTGTTATTTGCCATCAGTGCGCATACGAAATGGCGGAACGGCAGACACGATGACAAACAGGCAAATGGGTGGAGAGGAAGGGTGTGAGCAATTTTGGCACGACGCACCTTTGGCATATTTCATGACGCGGTCGATTGACAAATATAATAGTTTAGTTCATTGGTAGTCTATTTTTATCAATTTTAGAAATCCTGTAAACTAAAATAAACTTAAAACGATTGACTACAATACTTCGTAATTATATATAGCTTAAATGTAATGACAATAAAAATTTAGGGCAAAATCTTTTGTTTAATTATTGAGTATTGTGTATTTTATAATAGATTTTTGCTGAAAAGATGTCGAAGAAAAACGTGGTTGGTACTTTGAAACTGTCGCATCGGCGATGAAAATGTGCAAATTTGAACGTCATTTGGAAACATTAATAACGTTCAAACACTTTAAACCAAGGCACCGCATCCAATTAACGCGAGTATTGTACTTGCGCTGGTGTCGTCAAACCTTCCACTTCCTGCGAAGTAACGATATTTATACAGGGCCTTCACATTAATCACAAATTTTTAATTTTATTAAGAAAATTTATTTTTTACAACTTTTAAATGTAAAGTTTTGTTTTTATTATAATAATGTGTGTGTATGTAGGTACCTAATTCTTACTTATATAGAGGTGCATAAGTAATAAAAATTTGGACACACATTCGTGATACATTTGGTATAATTATTTAGTATATCTGGATATAATCAACGTGGTTGTGTCGTTGCGTTGTTCCCCGGTTGACTATTATCCCTCGCAGTATATGGAAGGGCCCAGCTTACGTAAACGCATGCAATGCTTCCAACAACCACCTCGCAATTGCCAAGTTGTAAGAGTAAATGCGTGTACGCATTTAAAGGGGTTACTACCTTTTGTCCCTATTGCGTTCTTGTTGTCACCGTTGCACTTCCATAAACCTACTACTTTTAACAGCGGTCGCAACCCTCATCCCTTCCACTACGCCGAATTTAAAACGAAACAAAAACTCAAAAAGCTAACTGTGTCAAAAACACTTTGATAAATTATGCCCCGACTGACTTCATTACAGTATGACTTATGGTAAACACGAATTAAACTAAGAGTATGTATAATAGATGATTCTGCACTTAATTGGATATTCATTCGAAAATTATTAGTCCTATTGAAAGTTGCCAACTTGCTTCTAATGAACAGTGAGCTGTAATCACTGAGCCAAAACTTGGTCAGAACACACCAGACACCAACGCGGAATAAGAGGAGTATTAATTAAGCCCTGATATCACGGTCTACTATATTCATGTGTAATAGAACTCAAACTAAAACTACACCCCACATATTAAACATAGATAGGTTTCCTGAATAAAACAAAGACAAATAATTATCATATATTTGGAATTATAATATAAGGTTTATCAACTTAATTGTGCTGACATATTTATAATTGTTATTTATTTTGTTTCAGGTGGGTTTATTTTCGCAAAAGTATGGAATGTCTCCTTCGACCAGTCTCAGGGATAACACATTGTATATGACATGTACATTTATGGCACAGCTAGTTAACCAAATGGTCAGTATGTTTATTAGGGTCTTTTGTTTGAAATTTGCAACTGAAATAAACTTTTAACTAAGCCAACAAACAGTTAACGAACAATAAATATTTCCAAGTGCTGTTTATTATAAATTTTAGAATGTGGTATTTTAAAATTCCAATTAGCTTTAACCTTTTACGTATAATTAAATGCTGAACAAATGTTAAAATTTTAATTATAATTAATAAATAACGCACCATTCAAATTAGCATGAAATGAAAGACAGCGGACATGTTTTTATGTTATCTCGAAATGAGTTTAATCATTTTTAAATAATTGTGTCCTTTAATATGCATTCATAGTTGTAAAGTTTTCATTAAGCATTTTTAAAGCCATGACAAATCAAAACTGTGTCCAAATCCAAGGTAACTTTTTGTTTTATATCGGAGATGTGTGGTTGCTCGCGTTTTTTATGCCGACATGCAATTACACACATAAACGCAAGACGCAAGCCCCTTTATGGCAAGCGATTATTTAAAGCAATAATACATTCGCGCAAAAAATATAACATAGTAATAAGATGGGCGCATTCGAAGAGGGCAGATAACACAAGGCTCCACGCATTTGCAAACTGCGAGTGCAAATGCAACCGGATAAAAAACTAGTGTCGGCGTTAATGTAAATGGCATACATAATTCATATTTGATTTATTGCGAGGCCCGATGCTGGCCAGCGCCCGCAATACTTATTGCTAATTATGTTTGTGTCAGTGCAAAAATTCGCTGGGATGATTTACAAGTTCGAATATCGAAAAACCATCTAATATGATAAAGATACAGGATAATAAAATTCTGCACACAAAAATATTAATAGCATAGTCATAACAACTATTATGCTTTTTCATTTTTGATGATGAGGAGACGGAGGTTTAGCTTTCTTTGCATTTGCTAATGCTTCCTTTTGAATCCTGGAATTAGTGTGGCTAGTCATCGTAGTGGAATAATTTGTTAATCGCAACTTGGCTCGTTGTCGCAGATTGTTGCTCGTTTGCTTGTCGCCACTCCAGCCACTTCGTGCGGCGCTTGGTGCTCTCGTTACTTGTGAGCGCACTTGCATACTTGATGTTACATTTTCATTGCGGTTTGTGTTGATCTCTTGTAGCACCCGACCAGGAACAGGTTAGTTATAAATAGTTGCTGGTAACTTATAAACGCGACATATTTATTCGTGGTGAGTTTAAAATATTAAACGTTAACATTGTGCATATATTAGAGAAACTTACACTTTATGATATTAGTTTACATAACTTGCAGAATAATTTAATATTGTTCTAAAATTTATTTGATTTATTGTTATTTGGTTTTTATGTAACATGCCTACATATTTCGAAAAATTGTTTTTTGCGATTGTAATTGTGTTTTTGATTGGGCTGGAGGCTTGGGTTCAGCTAATGAAGTAATTTATATAACCGAATTCAATTATTCGTCGTGAGCGATTTGTTATTTTTTATTGCGTTCAAATTGCTGCCGGCAAAACTACTCGAACCGCCCCACAGCCCTAAGCTTGCTGTTATTGCCGGTTCCAAATTTACATTCAATGCAATCGCATGATATCGACACATATCAGCCATAAATAAAAAGTTTGATTAACAAAAACAAAAATCCACTTTATCTCGACTAAACTTAACCATAACAATAAAAATAACACTACTAATATTTTAGTCCGTAATTGAAATTTATAAATGTATAGTTACCCACATATTTTTCGAGGTGTTGAGATGTTAGAGTTAGATAGATGAGTGCAATGTCCAAACGTCCGGTTGATAATGAGCCAATGCATTTATAATAAACTATATCATAATAAATTGGATGTCACGCAGCCTGTCGCTGCCGTTTCGGGGGCAGTGCCAGCGTCATCCACTCTTCTACACATTCACTCCCTATGCTGGGCAATACAAGCCCATCCGTTCATTTTGCCACGCACCTGCTTCGATAAAATATTCCGATACAAATTGTTCCGATAAGTCGTCGCATCCCGCTCTACGTGTTACACGTTACAGATAATCTCGCCACCAGAAGCAGCACTCGTGTATTATCTCACGTCTGGTCTACTCAGAAGCAAAGATACACCAGGTTGTACCCCACTTGTAATGGTAGTGTAATGGTATTGGATTCATGTGGATCGATGCACGCTCCACTAAATAAATAGCAATAAATAAAGTTGGATTCTTTTTTGATGAAATCGAAACCACGCAACGAAACAAAATACTGATAACAGTATAAATTCTTTGAAGGTATACATCGTGTGATTTTGATTCAAAAATATTTTGAAAATTTTAATTCAAGTTCATTTAAGTTATGACCATAAAGATGATGCGTTCATTGAAAAAGGTCTGCACGGGCCCAAGTCAGTCGTGTATTATTTCGCAATATATGATGGGCGCAGTCAATTTCAGTACTCTGTAATTAGTCGAGATCCGGTCCGCATTGCGCCGAAGTGGCGTGTGGAGATCGCCATAAAGAGGCGCGCTGCCTACATTATGGAAGCCCTCGCACACGCACTCGGTGCGCATTGCTGCACGCTTATTAATTCTAATACAAAAATATCCGTAATATCAGTCTTAATACTTCATATACTTCATTCAGTCGCCAGCCAGCAACCGAGATTCCACACTTTGGTACAGAACTTCTCAAAACCTTCCAAACCGCATCAAACATAGGTTTTAACTTGAAATATTCCTTGAATATCTTGAGAATATTGTGGCTAGCGCGTAGATTGATTCTGCACCAAATAAAAGTTGTGTTTTAGTAGTAATTTTAATATCCAGCAAGCCAGATGCTGTTGCTACCGCTGTAATTGAAAATTACTCGAAAAATTAGTTCATATCTCAATTCTCGATCGCCGTCTCTACCTACCTTGCGTTACGACTGTGACTATCTGCTACTTTGCATTCACTGCTGGAGGAGTATGAAATACTGCAGCAAATAGAGCTAAAAGTTGACGTAATACATGCACCAACCCATGAAGTATAGGTGCCATCAGGTATGTCAGCCATCAAGCCATTACAAGAAACATGCTTCATGTTGCGGTTGTGCGTTGCAGGCAAAAATTGACGAATAAAAAATAACAACACGCGCCTGCTCTGCCCTAATGAGTATTAATCACTAGTTATACTTGTAAGACTAGGCATATAGATAGCTATACTTTATTCTGTCTGATATGATTTTACTGGATGTTCTACCGTTAGTAGGTATAAACGTAGATGCAAAAGATTATAAAAATATTAAAAATTTTATTTAAATTTTACTGCCCAGTATAGTGTAGGTACTTGTAGTTTTTACGCACAGTTATTATTAATTAAACGCATTTTTTATCGGTTATCTTGCGACGGCTGTAATTATGCACAGCACAAGACACCCTTTTGTATATTTTATATTGATTAATGTGCGATAGCTTTGCAGCCGAGGCGTATTTTGGTCCCATACCATCAGCAACCCATCTTGCTCACCAACCCGTATCCTTGATGGGTTATGACTCAGCGCCACACTTCCTTCAATAAGTCTTCATTTCGTGTCAACTCTTCTAATTCTAAATTTTAATATGTTTACAGCAATAGTCCCCCCTGTATTCCTCGTAGACGTCTTAATTTGTTTCAAAGTTACTGAAAATTTCGAAGAATTAGTCTTCCATCCTGTTATATTTTGTTGATTGCGTCGCGCTAATTTCCTAATTGGAAAATGAATTTTGAAGAATTAGTTCGACGGCGGCAGTAGGCGCTTAGGCCCCAGTGAATGAAGGCATGGCGACGACAATGAGTGATGGCAGTCGAGGCGCGAAGACAACGCAAAATGAAAGAACCTTTGACTGACAATCGCACAATAGCGTACGCAACAATAGCGCACAATGGAAAGGTTTATGTCATAATTTAACATTATCGGAAGGAAGTGTGTGTGTGTATTGCGCGCGGCGGTTTGGTATTTTCTGTGATATTACCGATATTACGGACATTAACATCATAATAGTAATAATATTAGGTATGTTGGTAATTTTGAACGTTTTTAAATTTATAGGTTAAATAAGGTGGGTTTGGTATTCCAACGGAATGACGAACAGATGCATTATACGTCTGCAAACTCATTAACACGAAATTACCTAGAGATTTAGTGCTCAAAGTGTTCGCATACTTAATTAATTGTTTGCTCGGTATGCTCATTGCATTAGGCTGATGTTGGTCTTCGGCCTTGCCTTGGCTTTCGTCTTCATTTACATGTTCCTTGCCAAAATTTGCTCTTGCCAGCATGGGCGTTGGCTTTTGTTGTATTTGTACAAAGGATTATTGTGAATTAATCTGCCGATAATAGTTAGTTTAAAGTAGGAGTTCCTGCGAATTCCGGAATGAGCTGAGGTGGGAACCTTTGAAAGTAGGAAGATATTAAGCTGTATATACGACTGTTACATCCACCAAGAAATGTGAAATTAGGGAAACTATTCGACTATGGTCTTACGTAGGGGGGCAAAACAAAGATTCGAATTGTTCTAAAGATGCAAGGATGCAAATTGGAGGCGGATGGGAAGGAAATCCATGGAGTGTAGCAGACGGTCAGGAAATGGATCATTAGCGGTCGCATCTGAATAAATGAAACAACCCCTCTATGCCCTAGGTCCTAAAACTAAATGCTATAAACTTTTGGAGTAATTAGAAGGTATTGTGAGTTAATTTTGTTTGAATTTTTGATGTTTTGGGAATTCTTTACAGGAAAATTAATTTTTGGCAACAGTTTACATTGTCTAAGGTTTAACGAGTGCCAATAATAGCAAAACTTAAAGGAAGTCCGCCTGAAGTCGAAAGTCTTTGCCCCCGGCAACCCCAGGGAAGCAATCCCGACCCTAGCGCAGCTCTTCGAAAGTCCTACAAGTTTATAGACCAGTCCAAGTCGCTTGGTGTGACTGTTGGTCCGCTGGGGCAATTTCCGCAAAACTCATTAATTAACCCGTAGCGCACGCCGCCGCTGCCGGATGATAGCATGTAATTGAAATC